TGTCACATCATTAGAGGGAAACAAGTTGTGTGGAACTTTTAGAATGTTATGAATAACTTCCACCAAAATTCTGGCAAGACCACAGAGTGAATGCCATTAAGATCACCTAGCATGTTTCCAACAGGGGTTGTCCACAGAGTAGTGTTGTCTCTTCTTGTTCTGGCGTTGTTCTGGTATGTTTTGTTCAAATCTGAATGGATTGTCCCTGTCCACATATAAGGACGGTATTTGTTACTGCATGTTCTGGGATCTACTGGGTTATCCCAGTACTGCCTGTCCATGCACATGCACATGCACAGCTGTTTTGGTCTGTCGCAACAAAAACATAAATGCTAAGAAATTTATTACGGCATATGGTCTCGATCCACAGCCCTTGCTGTAAGAAATCTGCTTGTGTTATTCAACACTTTCTTCCTTTGCTTTCTTGGCTTTGCATGTCCTTTTGAGCATTTCTTACCCTAAATCCAGTCCTAAATTACAGCTGTTAGAAAGGAATCTAGCAGTGCTATTCAGATTTGCCCCATGCTGTGACTGAACTATTAGCACGCCCATTTCTGTACTCTTGATGTGTGCCCTGCCGCGTCTGCAGCCTCCCCACTTCCAAAGTTTCAAAGCACTGCACAGTTTTAGGCACATGGCTCCCATTAAAGAAAATCAACAGGAGCCAGAAAAATAAAATTCCAGGTTCCTCTGCCCTTTACTGCCTAAGGAAAGCCCACGGGAAAATGGCAGGAAATTCTCCATACCTCACAAAAAACCAAAGTTGTCCAATCAGCTTTGCTCTTTCGTAGCCACGTCTTCTGAATTTTCTCCCATTTTTGTTTCCTTTAGGACATTTTTTCTGACATGGCAACCCACAAGAAATATATACCCTGTGGTAGAAAGAATGGGTCCTCCCAAATCCCTACCTCTCATTCTTCTGAGACCTTCCCCCATTCCAGGCCAAGCCAATATTGACCTCAGATTTAATTTTCAGCTGATATTTTTGCCACCTGTCCTCCAAACCGATGGGCCTTGTTTTTAACATTTCCCTTTGGTTTGGAAACTTGTCTCCACATGCAGAATGATGTGGTGCAGTCCTGAAGGGACAGAATGGACTGCACTGGTTTGAATCACAGGTGAAGGGAAAGGGTTAGGGTTTGTTTTTAAGTCCACTTTAAAAGCTTTTCATACATTGTGCTCTACCACACTGGGAAAGAAGATTCTAGCCTAGCCCTCTTCCCCCTACACCCGTTTGCCATTTTTCAAAACTTATTTGAAACTGTACCCACCCACCCTGCCTAATGTGGCAGAGAATACAAAAATGGCATATATGCACACACTGACCTGGTACAACTCCAGATACAACTTCCATCCCAGACATAGTCAGTATAGCCAATGTTGAGAGACAAGAATTGCAGTTCAGCAGTGCCTAGAGGGCCACAAGGAGCCTCGTGGGGCAGTGGTTAGACGGCTGTACTGCAGCCAAAACTGTGCTCATGACCTGGGGTTCAATCCCAGTTTAGCCAGCTCAAGGTTGACTCAGCCTTCTATCCTTCCGAGGTCGGTAAAATGAGTACCCAGCTTGCTGGGGGGGGGGCAATGTGTAGCCTGCATAATTAACTTGTAAACCGCCCAGAGAGTGCTTGAAGCGCTATGGGGCAGTATATAAGCAGCACGCTTTGCTTTGCTAAACCTGTTTTAGACCCAAGATTTAATGGTCCAAGGGAATTGGCTTTTAGATGGCCATAAACATTACTTCCACTGTGATGCACAAAAGTAATATTTCTATTCCCCTCACAATGTCACTTTGTGCCATGCAACTGCTCATACATTTTGAATATAAACATTGGTTTGGCCACTCTGATCATTTCATGTCTTAAACTCACTCAAAGCCTGACACTACCACAACAAAAGGAATACTGTACAATAGCATTTGTGTTGCAGTTGTGATGCTAAACACACTCAAGTTGAAATTAGCTTTTTTTTTAACCTTGTAGAAATACATGTTTTACAAACAAATATAATAAAATGAGTATCTGTAACCATGGAGATCACCAGCCAGCTACTCCCTGTTTTTTTTTTAATGAAAAGATGCTGCAGTGAACAATCATTCCAACTGACTTCAGCATGCTAAAGTTGGGCCAGTTTACACTCATGATATGCCAACTTGGATAAGATATACAGATGGAATTGGAATTGTTAAAGATTTTCCACACCAGGTTTCATCATTGATCAAAACAGAAACTACAGCCAAGAAATCAGATGATAGAGACTTGGATGGGTAGCTGCGAAAGAACTAGGAAAGATCCTTAAAGTGTAAGGAGGTGTCACTGGAATCCAAGGCCAAAATCATGCAAACAATAATGCTTCCATTTATCTAATTCAACCTTTCAGTTTGTTTCTATATGTCTGACAAAATGGGCATGTCCATGAAAGCTTACATTAAAATATAGTAGTCTTTAAGGTGCCACATGTTTTTGTCTTCTTTTCCCTTCGGATTTTGCCTAATATCTCATTTACAACGTACAGATGTGAAAGATAGACATGGGAGGAAAGCTGACAGGAGAAAAAAAGTAACTCATTTGACATGTGGTGTTGGAAGAGAGGTGTACAGATATTACACCAGAAAAACAAGGAAATAAGTTCTAGATTGAATTAAGCACTGTGTTCAGAATACCATTACAAGTGAAGGAAGCAGAATTAATTATTGAAAGGAGATTGTTAACACTGGTCTTCACAGAAACCTTAATTCTATGTGTGGGGAGATACACTAGAGTTTCTTAATGATGAAGGGAAAGCCCTCTATACATTCTTATTTGTTCTGTTTATTCATATTGGTTCCATTTATTCATATTGGATTCTTTAAAATCCATGACCATGCCAGCTGCAGGGTTCTGGAAGTTTTAATTGTCCAAAAGAGGCACTCTGCAGCAGCACATGTGGGTAAGATAAATTCTTTCCTACTCAAATAATTTCTTTTTCTCCCCACAAACCTCAAATACATTTCTTTGATGTGTCTTGGCCATCCCATCCCATAAGGATAATTCCAAGTGTGGTGTAGTGGATAAGAGTGACGGACTAAGACTCTGGAGACCAGGGTTCAAATCCCCACTCAGCCATGGAAACTCACTGAGGGAGTTGGAATTGGTAAAACCACTCCTTAAATATCTCACTTACCTTGAAAGCGCTGTTAGGGTTGCTATAGGTCGGTTCCGACTTGAGGGCACAGAACACACACATTCCATAAGGGGATCTCTGGCTGCTGAATTAGTGAATATCAACAATTCAAGAAAGGGCTTGTGTTTCTTTTGTTTTGTTTTTCGAAAAATAAATTGCCCATTCAAGACTATACAATGTTCAAATACTTTGCATTACAACAGAGATAGCTTGCAACAATAGATTGTTTCTGGAAAAAATGCATTTCTTCCCCAGCTACTGAGAGGATTACAGCTGAACTCGGGCAGATAATGTCATAGTTCAGAAACTCCCAGAGCTTTGAAGCCATGAGCCCTGGTTCTACTGCATCATTGACTGCTGGGCTGAAAGGTCTGTCACCTCTCAGCAAGGGATATGGCACCTGGGGCTGACAAAAATGACAGTCCCACAACCTTTAGAGAAGGAAACATTCCTCACCTCAGTACGAATTAAGATCAGCATCTCTTTTTCCAAGGGGGAGAGGGAAGAGGAGAGGAAGAGGGGAGAGAGAGAGAGAGGTAGAAAGAGATAAACAAACACCCAATCCTATTATTTATTTATTTATTTATTTATTTATTTATTTGTTTGTTTGTTTATATCCTAGTCGTTTTTTTAGCAGTAAATGTTATATATGTATTCAACACAAAGGCATCTGAGAGACAATTAGAATACAGTAGGTTGCTGGGGGAAGGGAATATTAGCTTTGCATAGCTGAACAGTGATGCTATTATCTCATCAGCCTAGCACCGGCTGAGGCAGGACTATAAATAGCGACAGTAATGGCTGGGAGTTGCCACTTGGCACTGCTGTTGCTGGCCACTTTGCTCCAGCTCTGGTTCAAGAAGCTGGGGAAAAGGGCTGGGATTGCAGCCGCCAGCGACGGAAAATACCCATCAGCTCATTGATCCTCTCCTCCTGCACAACAGGAGGCCACAGAACATCACACTGAAGAGAACAATCTGATAACTGGGGATTAATGTCAATTAATACCAATCTACCAAAGGGGTAGAGAATGGTGCAGAACTTATTAACAGTGGAGAACCTAAAGCAGCTCAAAACAGGAATTAAACACAGAGCTATAACTCTCAGCAAGATGTAGCATTAAAATACAAGTAAGCTATTAAAAAATATTCAATTTGATGAATTTTAAAGTCAACGGGGGGGGGGAATTACCATCCCTACCCAAGCCTGTCCATGCTAAATTTAAAAAGTAGTTGTCTGCCAGTGGAGAATAGCCGAGAAGGACCCGTCTGGACTTCCTCAGAATAAGGTTGCTACATCTCTCGGGGCAAATTGTAGTCTCCAGGAACAATATGTCCCTCCGGTTATCAGGCTGGGAACCAGATTACAGGGCAAACATTGCCAGAGGAGGGGAAAGTTAGACTTTTGCGAAGGAGGTGTCTTTACATCTATACCCATTCTCAGCAGGCACCAGGGCTGGTCAGCTCAGGACATAAGATATCTGTACATGTCTTGGCCCTGCCCAACCTGGACATAGTAAAAAGCCTGGAGGAAAGGGGGGGAGGGCTCAGGAGTTCACATACTTGGGGCCATCGTGCCATTTTCAGCCCGGCAAAAAGTGGAGGGCCAGTTTTGCAACTTGGAAGCTTTTTTGCTATTTCAGTCTTGGCAGAAACGATGCAAGGCCTGGGAAAGAACACTCCCTCTGGGCTGGTAATGAGCTTCCCACAGGCCCCAGCAGCACAGACACACTTTCCCATATGCTTGTGTGCTGTAGGTAAGGCAGCATCGGACGCCAGTCCTACTAGAAACGGAAGCAACCCTTGAAGTTGCTAGGACTATTTTGCCACCTGGCAGGTCACTGGTTTGGGGGGGGGTAGCATTTTTCTTCAGACTCTTGGTTGCCTAGTAAACTGGTTAGCCAGGTTTCCCTGCTGGACTACTACACTCTGGTTCCATTCTCACAATCAGCTGGCTTACCCTTGCCAACCCCGGTTTTGTGACAACCATGACATCCATCCTGATCTCAGGTTTTGGCCCTACAGTCTCAGGGAAGGGGAGGGCTCTGGCCTGGCACCCCAACCAGATGAGACCATACCCTGAGAAGGTGCTTGCTCTCACTTTCGCTGTTAGAAACATAAGCTTACAAAGAGGCGCATGCGAGTGGTGGGACAGGATGCAAGTCCTCAGTGAAAGTGCTACTTCCATGGCACGACATCTTTACTGTCCATCTGCAGCAGCTGGGTGAGGATGTCTCTTTCACTTTGATCATCCCCTGTGCTACCAGCCTGCCACATATCCTTTTTGCTCATTCTGGAATCACTCCTTAACTGGATCACCAACTGTCAGGGAGCAGAATAATCAATCACTTTGGAATAGATCTCATATTTGTGTCAATTTTAACTGTAAGCTGGCTTTGCAAGCAAGGCCATTCCAAGAAAACTTGCCGCAGAGACACAAGGACAAGCCCACACCCTGCCTCTCCCCTTTCCATTTACAAAACCAACTGGGCTGGCAGCGGACTCTTATCTCAGACGGTGCCACAAGACAACACCCTGCGCTGCTCTACCCAGCCAGTTGGAGGGTGCACACAGCTTTGTCCTCCAATACACCTGCGTACCTCACATGCACCATTCCGGGAGTCAATGCAGAATGAAAGCTATGCCAGTGACCTAAACTGAAATCCTATCTTCACCTCTGTCTATGTGTCTCTCAGATCTCAACAGGTCTTACATGTAAGCAGACAGGCAGAGGTTTGCACTGTTAGTAGCTTTAAACGGTCTCTGGCTTGAAATGTGCTAACTTTCACAAAGCAATGGAGGAAATTGTAGGCCGACAGAGTATTTTTTGTGTATCTGTCCAGAGAGAGGACGTTTTCTAAAAAGCTATCAAAAAGCTCCATACCTTTAAGAGATAAATGAGATGACTACGGATAGGTGTGGTACTGACAGGTCAATTTTAAAAATGGAAAATGTGCCAGATCGATTAAAAAAAAACGTTTACAAGGAACTCAGTCCTGCTTTGGACAGAACCATTGAGAGCCGTGCTCTTCTCTGGAGCCAAGTACATGTGAAGTGTGATGCTTTGCATTTATAGGGAAAAGTTTAATGTACAAGGCGTTATGCAGTGAATTATGTAGTCCTCTTGGATCGTGGGACTTGCAACTAGAAAACCGTCTGAGAATTCTAGGAATGACAACATTTGGTTTTGCTGGACTCTCTTCTTTGTGTTCATGGGCTTTCAATTAAAAGGCTGCTCTCTGGTGGCAGAGAAGCAGAAGTGCGAAGCTGGGTATTGTCTGAGGACAAACAATGTTGTTATCCCTGTTTGTGAGCCTGGGAAAGTGTCTTCAAAGATGGTCCTACAGACAGCACCTCCCAGCAATCCAATCTGGAAAGCAGGGGTAAGAGAAGGGGAATATAGAAATTTTTTTTTGCAAAAGGAGGTAGAAAATAAAGATATTATCAGGGCTCATTCAGTCTGTCACAGGAGTAGGAAAGTTCCACAAACTACACAGCTAATTTTTACTCCTGGACCACAGCTAGGCTGCACATGCATAAGCCTGGAACACATTCCAGCTTTGCTGCACCTCCAAATTAACCACTGAAATTTGAACAACAATCCTCCTTCCCCCCCTTTTTTTTTTTACAAAGAAAAAGTTGCAGAGGAATCAAGTACCTTGTTAACAAGCATACTTTCCAGGAAATCACAGCAACACAACTGTACTTGGATCTTGTTCTTGGAGAGGAGGTTGCCTACCTGTAACTGTGGTTCTTCAAAGGGTATTTTGTGAACAAGCATTTATGGGTTCTAAGTCTGCTCAGAGCAATCTTCGGAATGTTCCAGAGCTCTAAAGCCTTAAGGTTTTCCCTCCCACATCTTTGTCTGCACATGCTCAGCCACTCCCTAACAGCTCAGTTCTCCCTCATTAACCACTTATAATAATTTTAGGACATGACAGACTGGAAGGCAGAGGAGAGCATTGTATGAGTTCACAGATGACCACTCAAAGAACCACAGTTACAGGCAATCAACTTGTTCTTCTTCTTTGTGGTTTCTATTATTTACATATATGGCCAACTTACTAAAGCATAATTGATTGGTGAGCTGTCACACCAAAACTGAAGACAAGACAGCATGTCCAAAGCAGACATCATATCCCACCCTCATAACTAGTCTATAATGCATCAAAGCATTAAGGGCTGTGATTGGGTTGTTGCTCTAAAGTCATGCAGCTGTTTATCCTTAAGGAATTCTGCTGATGTGGATACTGCTCTAGTGCAATGGTTCCCATCCTTGAGTAACCCTAATGTTCTTGGACTGCAGTTCCAAGAAACCCTGGTCACCACAGCTAGTAGTGAAAGGTTCTGGGAATTGTAGTCTAGAACGCCTGGGTTACCCAAGGTTGGGAACCACAGCTCTAATGGAATGCCTTCTTGTCTGATAGCTCATATGACAACCTGACGGTGGATAACACCCATTTTGCAAATCTTCGAGTGGAAACCAGATGCTGCTTATGAGGCCCATGGTAACAAATAGTCATTTTGACTGGCAACATCATTTGTCCAGGATACACAGAAAGCTAGAGCGCACCTTCATGTGTGCTATGACATTGAGGGAGAGCTATTAGGGAGTGGCTGAGCATTGTGCAAATGAGGTTGGGCCATGGAAAGCTTTAGGGCTTTAGAAGATTGCTCTGCACAGTCACAGAAACCATGTGTGTGAGTCACAGAGGCCACAAAGAGGAAATGTGTTTCCACCATTGCTGTATCACTAAATGTTGGCAATCTCAGTAGCAACAAAATTAGATGGTTAGGTGGTTGTATATGGTTCATATATCCCTTCCCCTCCCCACCCCACAGTTTATTGGGACACAGAAGGTGTGGCTCCCCCCACACATACTTTAATATATATATAAAAATAGGCAGTTCCAGTATTACTAATCCTCTGCCTTGAAGGCTACCCATCCTTCCACAATGCTTCACTTGGAGCACAACTACTCACCCTTAATACTCTACAACAATGGTCCCCAACCTTGGGCCTCCAGATGTTCTTGGACTACAACCCCCAGAAGCCTTCACGACCACCTCTGCTGGCCAGATTGCTGGGAGTTGAAGTCCAAGAACATCTGGAGGCCCAAGGTTGGGGACCACTGCTCTACAAGAAGAAAGAGACGAGCAAATTGAAGGTTTCCCCAATTTAGCAATTCCAGGCAGAATCAGCACAATGCTGCAATATCTATAGTTCCAGTAAGTTGCATCATGACATGAACTTATACATGTCACAGACAAAACAAATACAGTGAGTCAGACCGTTGATGCACCTAACTCAGATTTTGAGAAAGTTACTTTCCTAGACTCCAGCACCCTGGTCTCTAACCAACTGAAGATTAAGAATTGTGACAAATGCTCAAGTTCTCACCTTTTATTATCAGCAAGTTGTATGTGTTGTTTTTCATGGGCAAATGGGTCAGTTATGGGAGCATATTCATGATTGCCCATGCTGCAAAACAGTTACAGTAGTACCTTGGTTTACGAAATCAATGCGTTCTCCGGGTCGTTATGTAAAGCGAAAATTACGTTAACCAAAATGCGGATTGCCATAGGAATGGGGGTGGTGCTATAAACCTCCAGGCACAATGGGTCCTGGGGAAACTTCCTTCACAAGCAGAAAAAAAAGGGGGGGAGGGATGTAAACCGAGGCATTATTTTCTATGGATTTCCGCTCGTAAATCAAAAATTAAGTTAACCAAAGCATTCATAAACCAAGTCACTACTGTATTCCTTTGGATCAGGGGTCTCAAACATGCAGCCCGGGGGCCATTTGCGGCTCGCCAGATGATAGTTTGTGGCCCCTGCCTTGCCTGCCCCCTGAAGCACCCACGTGTCCTCTGCTGTCAAGAGTCAAAAAAGCCTCCCCTCACTCACCAGCTTCCCCTTTGGCAAGGCGATTCTGTGAGTTTTTTGTTTTTTTTTTAAATTTTATGTCCTCCTCCCCCCGGCTAGGCGGTTGCTAGCACTCCCTCCCTTCTCCGCTTCTTCGGCCTCCTGCTGCTGCTGGTGGTAGTGAAGAAGGAGCCGCAGGGGGTCGTGGCTGGCGATGAGGGCTCACGCAACCCTCCTCCTCCTCCTCGGAGCCCCAGCCGGGCTAAGGAAACTCCTGGGGGGCTTCCTCGGGCTCTTGCTCTGCTTGGTGGAAAATCTGATGCAGCCCAGCCTCACCCAGACTCTGCCTCCAGCAGCCCCCAGGTAAATTGAGTTTGAGACCCCTTTGGATGAAGATGTGGCACGCAAAAATTTATTTTGTAACACTGAAACTAGACTTAATGATAAAATGATGATGCCCAGATATTTCAAGAACCTCACTGGATGCAGAAACTTGACACTGGTTAGATTTAAAAGACATATTTTTTAAATGGGAAAATAAGAAATTTCAAAGAAAGAATGCTCAAAACCTTTCTCCTCTGCAGCCTCCAGGCAGCTAGAAAAGATGCCAACATTTCACCCTGCAGCTTACTTATTATTTTAAATGAAAAAAAAAAGTGAAATTTTAAATTAAAAAGAAGTTCAACACTTTCTTCCATACAGCTGGCTGGTAAATGCCACTCCCATACTGCTCATCTTCCCGTTATGTTACAGCACAGTGAGTTGTGATAAGGCACAGCCTGTTAAAAACAGCTCATTTTAATAACAGATTGATGCCTGAGTCCCTGAATGCCTTTCTAAAGCTAAGTTAGTTTTTAATGCTTACTTGCTTTTAATTATTTATTTGTACTTTAATTAGTGTATAGTTTACTTGCTTTTTAATGTTTAACTTATTATGTTTTTAATTCTATTCTTTTTAATATTGTGAGCCACCTTGGATCCCCTTATCAGGAGAAAGACAGCCTATAGATAAAAGAATCAAATATTAGAGGAGGTTTTTGGCACATAGCTGTTTAGTAAACCACCCCTTCTGTGACAGAGTCTAAAGGGACTGTGGAGGGGGGGAGGGCAGGAAGGTCAGCAGCACAGTGACCATGAGGCCTGCAGCACAGTGGTTGCAAGCCTTGGGTCTCCAGATGTTATCAGATGAGGGGGGGAGGGCAGGAAGGTCAGCAGCAATCCCATGAGGCCCGCAGCACAGTGGTTGCCAGCCTTGGGTCTCCAGATGTTCTCAGATTAAAACTCTCTGAAGCCTTCACCACTAGCTGTGCTGGCCAGGATTTCCAGAAGATGCTCCTTCACCGCTAGCTGTGCTGGCCAGGCTTTCCAGAAGATGCAGTCCAAGAACGCCTAGGTTACCCAAGTTTGGGAACAACTGAATTGGGCACCAATTACATTTTTCACAATGCCTTGATACAACAACACATTGTGGGCACAAAGGTGCATTAGACGGAACAAAGTACAGTAATATGGCATTCACCAAACTGCTGCAATAGTCCTACTTCATTAGGAAGGGGCGAACTGTGGGCCACAGCAGCTGTCCAACCATGACAGCTTTAAATGAAATGTCCTGTATTTTTGCGCCTTGGTCTGGCATGGCAGATAGATAAATTAATCCTATCCTCTGGGAATGGGGACTGGTGGCTCCCTTTCAAGTCCAACTTACTTTGCACTGGCGACTTGACTTGGACTTGACTTGGGGGTTTTGTGGGGGGACTTGAGACTTGATTTGCAACGGAGGCCCATTTGTCTGACTTGCACTGTCAACTCCCTATGGGCCCACTGCCCCTCCCCAATGCTACCTGCCACCGCCCCATTCAGAGACAGTGGACTGACTTCTGCTCCTGGACCTAGCCCCGCTGCCTCTGCCCATGCATGTGCTGACCAGCTGATATGCTGGTACATGCCCAGAGACAACGGGCCAGCTTCGGGAATGGACGTTGGCCTGCTGTCTCTGCAGATGCTGCCCCTGGGACTTCCATTCCCAGAGCTGGCCCACTGCCTCTGTCCATGCAAATGCCAGTCCGCTGACAGGTGGCAGCAAGAGCCCAAGTCTTTGGTAGCAGCAAGTTCTGAGTCCCAAGCCTTGGGGGATGGGGCAAGCAACTCGAGGCTTGAGACTCGGGACTTGGTACCAAGGTCCTGGACTTGGGGACTCAGGCCCCAAGACTTGCTAATGTCCTTACTATCTTCACCCAGTCCTGACTCAACTGCTTCCAATCAATGTGGATAACAGAAAAGAGGCTTAGTCTATTCTTCCTCAAGAGAAGCACCAGTGGGAGCTTACCTTGAAATGCACGGTTCTGATAAGTGATTTATTTATTTAATCTACCCCAGAGTCCCAAAAATGCTCAGAGTGCTGTTTACATAATAAAAAAAAAACATGTAGCAGTTGCATTCACCCAGGACTGGTTTGGCCCTTTGCTTTATTCAGGAAGAAGCTCTGTTGGTGCTACGCTGATTCAACTGTTTATACAAGGTGTCTGTGGTATTATTACTTCCCCTTTTGTTTTATGAGCCACTGAAAATTAGTTAATGTTGCAGAAACAAAGTGGGAATTCGCCAACTTGCAAAATACTTCCTTGCATTCTTTCTCAGGTCAGCTGAAGAACTGAAAAACAAACAATAGACATTTTTACAATAGACAAGTGTAATTACTTGCAATTAGTAAAAAAGAAAAAGAGTTTCCTCTATATCCCTAGCTTTGCGCCCCACCAACAGTTTTACTTAGAACTGGCAGCGCCTCGCAGATCAATACGAAACAGTACATCCAGACTGAATAAGCCATAGAGTGCTATCGAGAACACACTGTATCAGCTTAAAGAAGTTGGCACTCCCTTTAAAAAAGCAACGTGTACCTTTCTTATCTTGCTCGCACAGATCTGAGGTCTTTTAGTTTTCACAATAGCATTTCGGTACATGACACAGCATTACTGACAATTTAAACGGCAGGAAAAAAGAAGAGAAGAGAAATTCTATGGCACTAGAACCAACAATGTGGCAATGTGGCCACAAATGAAGAGCAAAATAAGCTATTTCCAAAGTATGTGGATATGTTATGGGTGGGGGGGGGGAATCTCTTGCACCCATTTTAAATTATTTTTAATCTTGATTAATGTTTAATTATGTTTTAATATAGCTTTGTATAATTTTTTTAAACCTGTTATTGTCTAGTTTTAATTGTGAGCCACCTTGAGTCTCCTTTGGAGAGAAAGTCAGCATATAAATAAAATAAAATAAACTGATTTTTCAAGTCACTGTACCATCTCTTTTAATGTGCCCCCACAGCCACTGTATGTCAGCCTGACAATGCCTCCACAAGATACTCAAGGTACTACGACTTTGACAAGATAAGGAAACTCCATAGTTGTCAGGCCGCCCTCGAGGGCACTTCTCTAAGTTAGCTCAACATTCAGACAGTTCACAAAATGAAGAATTTGGCACTAAAGGCCCCGTCCTGGAGGGTTCCCTGATCCTCAAGAGAAGTTGCCTGAGGAGCTGTCAGAAGAACAACATGGGATACCTTGCTACCTGTCTAAGCGCTTCTCCCTCAGAATGATCACTTGTCCCACTTGCACTTCATCTACTGTACTGGGATGTTAGAGGTTGCCACCGCAAGGGAAGCCTGAAAATCAACCATGGCAAAACCAGGCTTTCCCTGTGATGGTTGCATTGTTATGGAATTCACCTCTTGATAGAAGGTGTGACTGGTCCCTTTCCTTCTCGGCTTCAGAAGATAACTCAAAATGTGGCTGTCCACGCAGGCCTTTCAGTGGCTTACCCCAGACTAATTCGGTTTTTTGATCACCTATACTTAAAGTCATACCTTTTGTTTAATTGTACAGCTGGATTTCAGCTGTTATTTTCTTTAAAGATGGAAAATTCAGCTACCTGAACTCTTATTTTAATTTGCTAGCAACGTCACAGAAATTATACCTTTTGAGAGAGTGTAATATCCAAACTCCTACCCTTTAAACATCCTCCATTTTAAGTACAGAAGTAACTAAAAGCAAACACCATTATCACAGGGCTTCCACAGACAGTACACAGTGTTCATTCCAATTATTCCCCCCCACCTCATGCAATTAGTTCCCTGTACAGTATTCTTGTGGTAGGGCTGTGACAAAAGTCTTACAGAAAAACTGACGAGGATGAAAATGCTGCGAAACCTTTGAAGGTGATACAAAAGCAGTTTATGGCCCATATCTTCAAGACCTTTTTCAAAGCTGTGCTATATGATGATAATGAAAACTCAGTAGGATACAACAGTCAAAAGAGGATTAATAGCGGACACATTGAATAAACTGGGTAAAAAGTGAGTGTGATCCAGCAAATTCTTCAACTATAGCAAAAGCTTGCTTTGCTTTTAGACAAAAAGCTGCTATCCAACTGGTTTTTGGACAATAATATCAAACTTCCAGAAAACAAGGCAAGATTCTAACTTTAAGAACAAAACATAGGCTCTGAAAAAAGAATGTACATATAGACCTAAAGTAAGTCTAATAATAATTTGCTTTAAACTTAATAGCTTTGTTTAATAAAGCCAAATAAGTATTTCAGCCCAGTTATGTTATTTCTGTAATAACTAGAGACGGGTACGAATCAGAAAAATTGTGATTCATGATTTGTCAAGGTTGATGAAGCACAAATTACAATTCTTTTTCTTCTGAATCGATGAATTGATTTGTCAATTTGTGTGGTTTTTTTTTATTTAAACCCTTATAAAAAGCATATTTTATACTTTCTTCTACCATCCCTCCAAGTTTGGTTTCAGACATCCAAGTTATATATCCACAAAGTGGGTCCCCACCAAAAAAAGTGTCATTTAGCAACTGGCTTGCGGAAACCCAATCTTCAGCAGACTTGGAGGATTGTAGAGGAGAGTCATGGGAAGCTTCCCTGTGATTCTGGTGTCTTTAGGTGCCTGGAGGGGGTAATTTTATAACCAAACAAATAAATCAATAAAAAAAATTAAAATTGATTTGTATTTTTCGGGGCATTGATTTGTACTAATACAAATTGAGGAATTAGCAATTTTTGAATGAAGCTTAGGGTCTCGATGTGTTTTACTTTATTTATTATCCAATATGTTCATTTGTTGGCTTTCATCAAAGGAGCATACGCTGCTCCCCTTCTTCCCAGGTTGCTCATCCACAATGCACATCAAGACAACACATCGATCAGGTACCTAGGAAGTACTCCAGCTTTGGCTGGACAAAATGTCTTTTATTTCCTCCCACATGCCTGGGAACTCTATACCTTGAAACACACCCTATTTTTTTTTTCATTCTTCTCCCAGTATTTTCTCTCCTCCTCCTCCCAGTACTCCCCCATTCATCTTACTAAGCTGTGGCATTTTAGCCTTCCTTCTCAAGGTGCCAGGCACACTCTTCCAGAAGCTGGAATCCCACCCAGGATCTTTGTTTTTGAACAGAGCTCTAAGCCCAAGCAAGGAAGCAAGGCTGCCTGGAGGCCATTTGGAGAAAAGAAGGGTGTTCCTTGCGGTTTGTGTCCCCTCCACGAAACTTCATATCTTCCAAAACAATTATCACATGATAACTCACAATTTGAAGGCCCTCCAGGCACAGAAGGAAACCATAGGTGTGAATCACAGAGACCACAAAGAAGAACTACAAACAAGCACACACATTAATACAATTGGGCCTCTCTTTTTCTGGTGGTAGGTTTCTTTCTTTTTAAGAAGCTTATTAAGTATCACTAAGTTTGACTTACAGTTACAGCAGCAAGGGAACTTCAGTGTACATTGACTCCATGATGACCCCCAAAGCATCCAGTAAAACAAACAGGCAGGGGCACTGAAAAGAGTGCCAATAATGCTTTGCAGCCACAGAGACAGAGCTACGCAGAAAACATGGCAGGGGAGTAAAGTAACAAATGCAAAGGGGATGCCAATAAGATTGGTGAAGGCACTTCCAGCATGCTCTGCACTTTTTCTAATTCTGAATCAGTCATGCCTGCCACAGGCTTAGTGCTGCTCGTCCACACTTCGCCGAACCTCAGAAGTTGAAGAGTGGTATTTCCTAATTCTCATCAACTTGGAATACCACATCACAGAGTCATGGCTCAAAACTTACCTTATACAAAAATAATAACATTGATTTACAGTTGTGGTAGTGATCAACGAAATAAGTGAGAGCCAATATGGTCTAATGGATGATGTGTTGATCTATATTCAAGTCCCCAGTGAGTCATGAAATCGCCTGGAACAACCTTGAGCCAGTTCATTCATTCATATTCCAAAGTTAAGGATAGTCGATTGCTTAAATGAGAAGACCTCTAAAATATCACAAAGAGAAGCTAGCTTTTAACTTCTGAAGGCATCTTCATCAAGCTAGGCATTACAGAGCTGGGGGTGAGGTAGAAGAAACATTAAAATTTAAAACTCATGACTAAATAGATGTGTCAGGTTCTTCTGTTTAAATCACATTTCAAAAATGGAATTTTCTTAGCTTGACCTACCTCACAGGGCTACTGTGAGAATAAAGGGAGAATGTAGGACATAATACACCTGATAAATAAGGATTAACAATGAATCAAATACATTTTCAACCTGCAAAAAGCTATAATAATTAGTATTTATTTACTTTAAGGATTTTATTTTAAAAAAATTATAAAGCATAAGGTACATGGACCGTGCTTTATAAACAATTACTTGCAGGAAGACAGAAGATTTCCATGGCAGAGTTATTCAGTGTAAATTTTTGACATCTTGCCAAATCCACAGGGTCACACAAAATCAATGGACACCAAGGTAAGGCAACATTTTTATTAGCCAGTGGGCAGCTCCTTCCCTTTTCATCAAACCTGTATCCAACAGAAAAAGGCAGAACCTTTTCCTTCCACAGCCCAGCAAGGAAAACTCAGCATGTGCTGTAAAGATGTAAAACTGATGACACAGAAAGAAGAAGACTAAAACTGTCAGGCTAAGTAAAGTTAGGCAACTAAATAAATGGACTAATTTCCAAAGGTGCATGGAGATGTTTAGTGTTTCAGGAAAAATAGCCCACATTTAAAAGTACTGTTTTATGGGCATTGTCACTGCAGTGCTTTTGATCTCAAGTTATAGATATATTTGAGCTTAAAAAGAAATTGGAAGCATGCAGACCATTGCTTGAGATAAATTTCCAAACTTTAAACCAATTCAGGCCTCCCTCGAGTCTCAAAGAGATTGGTTGTCCTAACATTTAGGACTTGAACTCTGTAAGTTTTAACACACAGCTCATTTGTATTGTAAAAGGATTTTGTGTATTAGCCTTTTAAGATAATTTTAAAACCCTCTTTATTTTTTAAATGTCTTGCTTTTCTCACTAGAAAATACATGGCATCTATTCCAAAAATGGAATCTATTCTTTCTATCTCTATTCTAAAACTGCTCTCTTTTCATGCCTGAATGTAGTTTTCAGTTCTGAATTCTCTGTGGGGGTTTTTTTTTCTGGATAGTGTTTAATGCTTGGGTGGCCAGCCTGCAGTGTGGGTACCCCAAATGGCCCCAACAGCAGGAATTTGCGGTATGTTGGGACAGAAGCAGGAGGCCCCCAAGAAGGGTTGCTATGACATAGTATTAAGCCAGCATTCCTACTTCCCTTTCTC